CAGTGCAGATGTCATGTCTGAGGGCAATGTGCGGTGTGAATGTAATGCAGAGAATTCGTTGTTTGGAAATTAGGAGGTGTGGGGTTACTAAAAGTATTATCAAGAGGGCTGAGGAGGGGTTGTTGAGGTGGTTTGGACATTTAGAAAGGATGGAATTAGACTGAATGACTTGAAGAGCTCATAAATCTATAGTGGAAGGAAGGCGGGGCAGGGGTCGGCCTAGGAAAGGTTGGAGGGAGGGGGTAAGGGAGGTTTCGTGTGTGCGAGGCCTAGATTTCCAGTAAATTTGCATGAGCATGTTAGATGCAAGTGGAGACAAATGAGTTTTATGACTTGATGTGAGGTTGGAGTGTGAGCAAAGTAACATTTATGAAGGGAGTCAGGGAAACCTGCAAGCTGAACTTGAGTCCTGGAGGTGGGAAGTGCAGTGCCTGCACTCTGAAGGAGGGGTTAGGATATGTTGCAGGCTTTTTTTAACTGTAGTGTAGGCACGCCTCTGGCAAGACAGCGATGGAGTGAATGATGATGAAAGTGTTTCTTCTTTTTCAGGTCACCCCCATGTCAGCGAGAAACAGCCGGTGTGTTAATAAAAAATAAAATAATAATTATACAAAGTGAGAAGCCAATTATTAAAGCTTTCCAAAATTAATAGTTGGTGGTGGTAATTAGTGGTGGTCATGGTAAATGGTGGTGGTCATAGTAATTGGTGGTGGTAATTAGTGGGGGTCATGGTAATTGGTGGTGGTAATTAGTGGTGGTCATAGTAATTGGTGGTGGTCATGGTAACTGGTGGTGGTAATTAGTGGTGGCCATGGTTAATTGGTGGTGGTGGTCTACATGGAGGGTGTTCTGGGTCAATGCCCCCATGGCCTGGTCCATGACCAGCCTCCTGGTGGATCAAGGCCTGATCACTAAGACTGTTACTGCTGGCTACATTCATTTTGATGTACAAACCACAGCCTGACTGGTGAGGTACTGACTAAGAATCTATCCAGTTCACTCTTGAAGACAGCTAAGGGTGTATTTGTAATCCCCCTTCTATATGATGGGAGACTGACAACTGTTGTGTTTTCTCTTTGAGTACTCATGGCGGCACCCTGCTTTTCTCTAAGGATATGTTGCACTGTCTGCCAAGTTCTTTGCTTTTGTTGAGAGTGATTTCTGTATGTAGATTTGGGATTAGTCTTTCTAGGTTTTTTCAGGTGTAAACAATGAGGTATCTTTCTCACCTGCATTCCAAGGAGTATAGATCAAGGGACTTCAAACATTCCCAGTAATTAAGATGCCTGACAGAACTTCTATGTACAGTGAAGGTTTTCTATATATTCTCCAGATCTGCAATTTCACCTGCCTTTTTAAAAGGGATTGTTAGTATACAGCAGTATTCCAGCCTAGAGAAAGCAAGTGACTTAACCCTTTCAGGGTCTGTGTTGTAGTTCTACGGCTTTAAGTTGAGGGTTCAAACCGTAGATCTACACCATGAGCTCAGCTCACTCTAAGCTGTGAACAGTAAATCTGGGCCTAGATATGAGAAAATACATCTATGTGGTATGTGTGCACCACATAAAACAAATCCTGCAGCACACAGTGCATAATGATATAAAAAAAAACTGAGACCGTAACTTTCGATTAAAACAGTAACTTTGCAGTGTTTTTTCATATGTTTTTATAGTTGTATTTGCAATTTCTTGGTCTCATTTGATAGAATGGAAGATATATTACAGAAATAGAGATTATTTTGATTGGTTTTAGCACTGGAAATGGCTCGAAACCGAGCGCAAACTAGCGGAAATGTTAAATTTTTGCCAATGTTCAAGAGTAAACAAATGACCTCACACGTCTAATACATGCCAGCTGGTGGGTCTAATATACGTTCACAAATGTGGTGATATTATTTATACAATTATTACAATATTGCAAAACAGTAAATCTTCTATTTTTTGGTTTGAATAAAAATTCATTATGTGAATAAAAAATCAAAATGGAATTCATTTGTAAAGCCTGAAAACGTAACTAATGAACAGAGGAAATGTTAGTTTAGTGCCGGGAATGCCTGCATTGTTTATTCCGGACCCTATTTTGAAAATGGAATATTTTGAACTTTGCATTAAATTGGCCAAATTACCAATTTCTGATCACTTTATTTTGTAGTTGCAACAGTTCGCTTGGCGATTTCTTGTGCTCATTTGACAGAATAGAAGTAATGCTAGTGAAACAGTGAAGAATTTGGTCGACTGGAATAATGTAGCTGGCATAAAATGGGAGTCAAAGTCGGCAAAATAGCCGATGCATAAATATCGCCGACACGTCAAAATTCGCGAGAGCATAATTTTGTCAATTTTCCATCAAATTTCGTACTTTTTGTTTTATTACCTTCAGAAAAAGATTCTCTACCACTTCATAAGAAAAAAATAGCAATTTTTTTTTTTTAAATTCTTGGACCCTGGTGCACACTTCGAAATTTGGCCTCTGAACCCTGGTGCACACTTTGAAATTTGGCCTCTGGACCCTGGTGCACACTTTGAAATTTGGCCTCTGGACCCTGAAAGGGTTAAAAAGGATCATCACTGGATTGACGGCCCTTGTTTCTAAGGTTCTCATCCTATTATTTTCCTAACAGTTGTGAAATGACACTTGTGATCCTTGAGGGTGAGATTTTATGGCATTATCACTCCTAAGTTCTTCATATTAGTTTCTCGCTCTACTGTGTGGTTAAAATTTATTTTACTCCATTCTAACTTTTATTTCCTCAAGTTTTCCATAGATGAGTAACTTAAATTTGTTTTCAATGAACATCATATTGTTTTCTGCAGCCCATTGGAAGACTTGGTTTATATGCACTTGGAGATTTACAATATCCTCAATGGTTGACACTCGTGTAAATTCTAGTATCATCTGCAAAGGAAGACATGGTTTACATCTCTGTCTAGGTCAGATATGAGGATGAAGAAAAGGATGGGGGTGAGTACTGTCACTTGTGGAACATGGCATTTCATTGTAGTAGTCTTTGACTTAACTCTATTTACTAGTACTCTGTGTTCTACTGGTTAGAACATTAAAGATCCATCTGCCCATTTTTTCAGTTACTCCTTTAGTATGTATATTGTGCACTGGTCAGGACCCTTGTGCATACAAGTCTGAACTTCAATTTAGTGCTGGTGGCAGTAACTGGTGGTGGCAGTGGTGATGGTAACTGGGTGGTGGTAGTAATTGGCAGTGTTGGTGGTAATTGGCAGTGGGTGGTGGTAACTGGCAGTGGTAGTGGTAACTGGCAGCGGTGGTGGTAATTGCTGGGCTGTGTCCTAGGTTGATATCCATGGAAATAAGGTTACTCCCTCACTTCACTGGACTGACAAACATGAGGGTGCAGGAAGCTTCACTATCTCTTATGTAAAGACTTGGGGGTCTTCCCTCATATCCCTGGCACTAAACTTAGCCAAGTCATTTACAGGTTCCTACCAATAAAACAGAACCATCCAGGCAATGGATGCAAAGTTAACACAGTTGTTCACAGGGAGTTGCCTCTCCTATCATTTGCTAATTCACTGCCCTTCCTACTATGATGCTCCTCTTTACCAAATATGGCAAAACATCACCTCCTAAATGGTCCAATTCTATCCTGCCAAAAATTTCATCCTTGCATCACTGACCCCTTCCCTCCTTGTAGCATGCCATCTGTTGCTTTCCTTAAACATAGAGGAGGTAGTCCAACAGTTCCTAACAGGATCCTGGGGCACATATGCTCTTTTCTCAGGAACTACCAGCCGAGTGGGCAAACTGTAAAGTAGATCTTGTATTGTATAATGCTCTGACAGTGAGGTTCATATGGCCTCCTAGACATCAGAGCCCTGTACCTCAACCACAAAGCTTCCAGACATTGCTAAAGGTCAAGCAGTGTTCACTCCCTTTGCCAGCCTTGCATTACATAACAATGTACAATATCCACTGACATTACACCCCAATTGTTCAAAAATGCATCCATTAACAGTACACCCATCACTCAGGTAAGCCACCAGGAAAATATGCTTCAGAGAGCCTCTTGACAGTGCTCAACTTCAAGCTACAATATCTACTTTCAAAGGACCAACCTCAGTTTTAGTTTTATGGAATATCACATAGTTGTGCTTATTAACAGTAGAACAAAGCCACTCACAGGCTTCTCAGCCAAATCTGCCAAAAGCACATCATCTAATGCTATAATAATGTACCATAACTACTAATAATGTAGGTAGTAGGTTGGTAGACAGCAACCGCCCAGGGAGGTACTACCGTCCTGGCAAGTGAGTGTAAAACGGAATCCTGTAATTGTTTTACACGATGGTAGGATTGCTGGTGTCTTTCTGTCTCTTAAACATGCAAGATTTCAGGTACGTCTTGCTTCTTCTACTTACACTTAGGTCACACTACACATACATGTACAAGCATATATATATACACACCCCTCTGGGTTTTCTTCTATTTTCTTTCTAGTTCTTGTTCTTGCTTATTTCCTCTTATCCCCATGGCGAAGTAGAACAGAATTCTTCCTCCACAAGCCATACGTGTTGTAAGAGGAGACTAAAATGCCGGGAGCAAGGGGCTAGTAACCCCTTCTCCTGTATATATTACTAAATATAAAAAGAGAAACTTTCGTTTTTCTTTTTGGGCCACCCTGCCTTGGTGGGATACGGCCGGTTTGTTGAAAAAAAAAAAAACTACTAATAAGCCCCATAATTCTACAGCAATCAAATCCTATAAGCAAAGAGCACAGCAGGACTTCTGTAGCTGTCCAATGTCATACAATATTTACATGTTACTGTACTCAAGATTTTTTTTTTTTTTTTAATAATGGTCATTTTCTTGACTCGAACTCTAATTTTCTAAAAAAATCTAGACTTTCAAGAGGATTAGTGGTCAACAATTTTGGATTCACACTGTAAATGCACATTTACCTTCTTCAAATTACTTTTGAAAATAATTCTTTCCCACCCTCCTAATAAATACTTAACATTAATACCAACCTTAAAATATTCTTGAGCAACAGCTACAAGTTTGTGCAGAAACGCAAACACCAATGTCACATTGGCATTTATCCGTGTGGCTGACACAACGTATAGATTGCTGACTTTCACAAAACAAAAGGTTGCCTCCTGAGTCTGAAACAAATGAGTACAAGAAATTAACTTCATCTGATTAATGTAAAATTCAAGTCATTACATACATACCCACACACACACACACACACATGCTAACACACATACACAAGCATGCACACCCACACAGGCAGGGTCAGGGGCTGTGACTCAACCCCTGCAACCACATATTAGTGGGTAAGTATTTACGTACATGCACACACACCCACACACAAAAGACTAGTCCCAGAACTAAGTGGTATGCCCTATGATGAGAGGTTAAGGGTACTCAAGCTGATGACACTGGAGGAAAGGAGGGACAGGGATATATGATATGATAACAAGTATAAAATACTGAGAGGAACTGACAAATTGGACAGGGACAGTATATTTCAGAGCTAGGACACAGGAATAAGGGGCCACAGCTGGAAGTTGAAAGCTCAAATGAGTCATAGGGATGTTAGGAAGTATTTCTTCATCATTAGAGTTATCAGGAAGTGGAACAATCTGGAGAGTGATATACTGGAAGAAGTATCCATACATAGCTTTAAGAAGAGGTATAACAAAGCTCTTAGAGCAGGGAGTGTGTGGACCTAGTAGCAACCAGTGAAGAGGCAGAGCCAGAAAATGTGAACTGACCCCTGAACCATACAACTAGGCGAGTACATACACACACACACACACACACACACACACACACACAGATAGGACACAGAAACAAGGGGTCACAATTGGAAGTTGAAGACTCAGATGAGTCAAAGGGATGTTAATAAGTATTTCTTCAGTCATAAAGTTGTCAGGCAGTGGAACAGCCTAGAAAGTGATGTAGTGGAGGCGGGCACCATACACAGTTTTAAGACGAGGTTTGATAAAGCTCATGGAGCAGGGAGAGAGAAGAACCAGTAGCAATCAGTGAAGAGGCAGGGCCAGGAGCTATGTCTCGACCCCTGCAACCACAAATAGGTGAGTAAAAATAGGTGAGTACACACACACACACACACACACACACACACACACACACAATGGCAAGTGATGTAGTGGAGGCAGGAACCATACGTAGTTTTAAGACAAGGTATGATAAAGCTCATGGAGCAGGGAGAGAGAGGACCTAGTAACGGTCAGTGAAAAGGCAGGGCCAGGAGCTGAGTATCGACCCCTGCAACCACAAATAGGCGAGTACAAATAGGTGAGTACACCCTCTCTCCTACATACCCTAACCTGAGCATCACTATCCTCATAAAATCTCTTTACAGCATTTAATAACCTAACGTGTATTCCATACACTTGCAACATCTGCCACATTGCTTCCCTATCCACCCTATCATATGCCTTATCTAAATCCATGAAAGCAATAAAAACTTCCCTATCTTTATCCAAACACTGTTCACTTATATTCTTCAACATAAACACCTGGTCTACACATCCCTACCTTTTCTAAAGCCTCCTTGTTCATCTGGATTCCTGCTCTCTATCTTACCATGATTTTTTTTCAATAATAACCCTACTATACACTTTACCTGGTATACTCAGTAGGCCTATTCCCCTATAATTTTTACACTCTCTTCTGTCCCCTTCCCTTTTATACAAAAGAATCATGTATGCTTTCTGCCAGTCCCTAGGTACCTTTCCCTCTCATACATTTATTGAACAATAATACTAACCACTCTAAAGCTATATTCCCACTTGCTTTTAACATTTCTGTCATGATTCCATCAATCCCAGATGTTTTACCCTCTTTTCATTTGTCAGTGAATCAACCTTGCTATATCCAACTCAGCACTATAGGCCCCATATTAACCCTTCCTACATTCTTCAAATGCTTCGAGTAATGATTCACAGAACATGGGATAAACTATATTGTAATAATTTTTACATTAGTAAAATAGTAAAGGAAACTGACTGGATATTTTAACATGTCTAGAACAATTTTCCCATAAGTTCTTCACTTTAAAACTCCCATGTTTAACTGACTGAGAAGCAGAATAATGAGTTCAACTTATCATAACTTTCAGAATATCTAACTAAATTTGCTTAATAAAACAGAACTACAATGGTACCTAAATATTTGAACTTAATCCATTCCAGGAGGCTGTTCAAAGTGAGTTGTATGAATGTTAACCCTTAAACGGTCCAAACAAATCGGCGTTCAAATTCGTAGTGCTACAAAAGTAGATCTACTTTTTTTTACATATTTTCAAATGTAACAAAAAAAAAATGTAGATAAAAGTTTTTTTACACGTTTTCAAATGTAAAACAAAAAAAAAGATCTACATTTTTTTACATACTTTCAGATGTTGAAAAAACGTATACGTTTGGACCATTTAAAGGTTAAATCAATTGTCCCATGAGAAATAATGTAAATTGGATTAATCTTTTTTCAGACCCCAAAAATTACCAATTATAAAACTTATAAAAGATTTTAAGTAAAAATATTGCTTATTTAACCTGTAAATGGTCCAAACATGTATATACACTGTTCTTATGCTAATGCCCCAAATATTTTGAAAAAAAAAAAATTATATAGAAATAAAGAGCACATTTTTGTAACTGGTATAGGAAAAAAAATTAGGGTCAGTACTTACCGAGATATGAGACTGCAAGGTTGGCACTTGGTGATCACCTGACGGCAACATCAAGTCTTGCCGCTTGCAGAAGTGTTGCCGATATACTTTTTTTCTTATTTCTAAATTATTTTATATAATTTTTATGTTCTGATAATTACAATTTATAGTAGTTCTTGTCATTTCTTAACCAATCTTTGTTCTGACACTAATATTAGGTACTGAAATTGTACTAAAATTGTCATAAACACAGTGACAGGTGGACATTTACACCTGCCTTGGTCATTTACTGTTGTCTAGGAATAAATACAAAGTATTTACAAGTCCCAGCAATGTTTTGGATAAGCAGTGTATAATAATAAGAAAGAAAGAAAGAGTAGTAGAAAGAAGAAGAAGAAGAAGAAGAAGAAGAAGAAGAAAACAACAACAACAAAACAAAGAACAAGAACAAGAAGGAAAAAAGAAGAAGAAGAAGAAGGAAGAGAAGAAGAAAAGGAAGAAGAAGAGAAGAGAAGAGAGAAGAAGGAAGAAGAAGAAGAGAAAAGAAGGGAAAAAAGAAGAAGGAAAGAAGAGAGGAAGAAAGAAGAAGAAGAAGAAGGAAGAAAGAAGGAAGAGAAGAAAAAGAAGAAGAAAGAAGAAGAAGAAGAAAAAGAAGGAAGAAGAGAAGAAGAAGAAGAAGAAGAAAGAGAAGAAGAAGAAAGAAAGAAGAAGAAGAAGAAGAAAGAAGAAGGAAGAAAAGAAAAAGAAAGAAGAAGAAGAAAGAAGAAGAAGAAGAGAAGGAAAGAAGAAGAAGAGAAGAGAAAGAAGAGAGAAGAAGAAGAAGAAAGAAGAAGAGAGAAGAAAGAAGAAGAGAAGAGAAGAAGAAGGAAGAAAGAAGAAGGAAGAAAGAAGAAGAAGAAGAAGAAGAAGAAAGAAGAAGAAAGAAAAGAAAGAAGGAAGAAAGAAGAAGAAAGAAGAAGAAAAGAAAGAAGGAAGAAGAGAAGAAGAAGAAAGAAGAAAGAAGAAAAGAAGAAGAAGAAGAAGAAGAAGGAAGAAAAAGAGAAGAAGAAAAGAAGAAAGAAGAGAAAGAAGAAGAAGAAGAAGAAGAAAAGAAAGAAGAAGGAAGAAAGAAAAGAAGAAAGAAGAAGAAGAAGAAGAAGAAGAAGAAGAGAAGAAGAAGAAGAAGAAGAGAAGAAGAAGAAAAGAGAGAAGAAGAAGAAGAAAGAAAAGAAGAAAGAAGAAGAGAAAGAAGAAGAGAAGAAAAGAAGAAGAAGAAGAGAAAGAAGAAGAAGAAGAAGAAGAAAAGAAAGGAAGAAGAGAAAGAAAGAAGAAGAAGAAAGAAGGAAGAAGAAGAAAGAAGGAAGAAGAAAAGGAAGAAGAAGAAGGAAGAGAAGAAGAAGGAAGAAGAAGAAGGAAGAAAGAAGAAGGAAGAAGAAGGAAGAAGAAGGAAGAAGAAGGAAGAAAGAAGAAGGAAGAAAGAAGAAGAAAGAAGAAGAAAGAAGAAGAAGAAGAAGAAGAAAGAAAAGGAAGAAAGAAGAAGGAAGAAGAAAAGAAGAAAAAGAAGAAAGAAGAAGAAAAGAAAAGAAGAAGAAGAAAGAAGAAGAAGGAAGAAAGAAAGAAGAAGGAAGAAAGAAGAAGGAAGAAGAAGAAGGAAGAAAGAAGAAGGAAGAAAGAAGAAGAAGGAAGAAGAAGAAGGAAGAAGAAGAAGAAGAAGAAGAAGAAGAAGAAGAAGAAGAAGAAGAAGAAGAAGAGAAGAAGAAGAAGGAAGAAGAAGAAAGAAGAAGAAGAAGGAAGAAGAAGAAGGAAGAAGAAGAAGGAAGAAGAAGAAGGAAGAAGAAGGATGAAGAAGGAGGAGGAGGAAGAAGAAGGATGAAGAAGGAAGAAGAAGGATGAAGAAGAAGGATGAAGAAGAAGGAAGAAGAAGGATGAAGAAGAAGGAAGAAGAAGGATGAAGAAGAAGGAAGAAGAAGGAAGAAGAAGGATGAAGAAGAAGAAGGAAGAAGAAGTTCCCTTAACCCTTAAACTGTCCAAGCGTAGATCTACGTTCACCTGCACAGCGCTCCGAATATTTTGAAAAATAAGAATATTGTTGTTTCTTCTTTAAATTGAAGAGCACATTTTTATAAATGGTATAGGATAAAAAAAAATTTTGAGGTCAATACTTACCGAGATATAAGCCCACAAAATTGGTGTTAAATGATTAGGTGTCAGCAACATGGAGCACTGCCACTTGCAGAAATAAACATTTATCGTTTTTTTCCAATTCGTTTCTATTTTTTGTTGTTTTCATGTTATGATAATAATGTTTTGTTGCAGATCTTTTGATTTCATAGCCAATTCTTGTTGAGACACAAATGTTTGGTACTGAATTAGTAATCATACTGTCACAAACACACATGTTCACACTGATAAATGAATTTGTACACCTGGTTCAATCACCTACTATTGTTTACATTTACATGTATATACAAGGTATTTACAAGT